CCCCCCCCCCCCCCCGGGTCTCTCCCCCCCCCCCCCCCCCGGGGTGTGTCTGTCGCTACTTACAAAGCCATAGCCGCGGGACTTTCCGGTTTGTCGGTCGTTGATGACCACCGCCTCCTCGATGTCGCCGAAGCCCTGGAAGTAGCTGCGGAGGGAGGAGTGAGTGGTGCTGTAGGGAAGTCCCCCCACGAAGATCTTAGTGAATGTGGTGTCCCTCTGCCCCGACCCGGACCCGGACTGCATCGTCCCCGACACCGAGCACTCCCCACACTGCGGGGGCAGCATCGGCACCGACACTCACACACACACACACACAGACACACAGACACAGACAGACAGACAGACACACACAGACAGACAGACAGACACACACAGACAGACAGACAGACAGACACTCACACACACACACACACACACACACACAGACAGACAGACACTCACACACACACACAGACACACACAGACAGACACACACAGACAGACACTCACACACACACACTCACATACACAGACACTCACACACAGACAGACACACAGACACACACACACACAGACACTCACACACACACACACTCACACAGACACTCACACACACACTCACACACACACAGACACACACACACACAGACAGACACTCACACACACACACAGACAGACACAGACACACACACACAGACACTCACACACACACTCAGACACTCACACACACACAGACACACACACACACACACTCAGACACAGACACTCACACACACACACAGACACTCAGACACACACACACAGACACTTACACACACACACTCACACACACAGACACTCACACACACACAGACACTCACACACAGACAGACACACACACACACAGACACTCAGACACACACACAGACAGACACACACACAGACAGACACACACACAGACTCAGACAAACACAGACACTCAGACACACACAGACAGACACTCACACACAGACACACAGACAGACAGACACTCAGACAGACACAGACAGACACACAGACAGACACACACACACAGACACTCAGACAGACAGAAAAGACACACACACACAGACAGGCTCCCCCCCCCCCTCACACACACAGACAGGCTCCCCCCCCCCCCCCTCACACAACACAGACAGGCTCCCCCCCCTCACAGAACACACACACAGACAGTCTCCCCCCCTCACACACAGACAGTCTCCCCCAGTTGTTCGCACACACAGCGCAGAGAGAGAGGACAGAAAGGCTCTCACAGACACAACCTCTCGCAGTCCCTCACACACAGCAGCACAGGGGGGGGGGGGGGGGCGGCACTCCGACACCCACAGGGCTGACAGCGCCCCTCCCACTGCCTTCACACTAACCGGCGACATCCAACAGCAATTACACTGCACACTGAGACTGTAATATTGGGGGAGAGGAGGGGGGGGAGGGGGAGAGGTGGGGGGGGGAGTAGGAGGAGGAGGGGTGGGGGAGGAGGGGGGTGGGGGAGGGGGGGAGGGGGAGGAGGGGTGGGGGGGAGAGGAGAGTGGGGGGGAGAGGGGGGGGGGAGGGGGGGTGGGGGGGGAGAGGAGTGGGTGGGGGGAGAGGAGTAGGGGGGGGAGGAGGGGTGGGGGGGAGAGGAGGGGGGGGGGAGGGGGTGGGGGGAGGAGGGATGGGGGGGAGGAGGGGGTGGGGGGGAGAGGGGTGGGGGGGGAGGAGAGGGGGGGGAGGGGGTGGGGGGAGGAGGGGTGGGGGGGAGGAGGGTGGAGGGGAGGAGGGGGGGGGGGAGGAGGGGTGGGGGGGGAGGAGAGGAGTGGGGGGGGAGGAGGGGGTGGGGGGGAGGAGGAGTGGGGGGGGGAGAGGAGTGGGGGGGGAGGAGGGGGGGGGGGAGAGGAGTGGGGGGGGGAGGGGGGGCCATTATTAGGACTTCAGGAGGGAATTGCTGGAGAAATGATGGGACAAGTGGCAGATCAGTGTGTGAGAAGCAGTTGGGTACCTGAGAGCTGGGGATGGGATCCGCGGGCAGCGAAATCATCCTTGGGGCCGGGTTGGGCTTGCGGGCTGCCAGTTGGTTCCCCCTGAGATGTGGCACAGCATATGGGGGCGCAAGGCACAGGGGCTCGGGGATGGAGTTCCAGAGGGTGGGGGCGGTAAGCCGGAGGTCCAACCGCCGCAGGTGGAGCAGGCTGGTACCCACCGAGCCGAGAGAGCAGACAGGTTGGTAGGATTTTAGGAGGTCAGGGAGGTAGTGAGGAGCAAGGCCGTGGAGGGCTTTCAAGGTGAGGACAAGGGTTTTAAATTTGATCCTCTGGGCGGGGATGGGGAGCCAATGAAGCCGGCGAGGGTGGGAGTGATAGGCTCACGGAGCTTAGTGCGGGAGAGGAAACGAGCTGCAGAGTTCTGAATAATCGGCAGTTTGTGGAGGGAAGGGTTGGGAAGATTGGCGAGCAGAGCGTTGACATAGTCAAGCCTGGATGTTCCGAAAGCTGCATCACATCGACGTTTAAGTTTTTCCATCGCAAAGAATCTTATTGTTTTGTGTCTCACCAGCAGCCGGTGTTCGTGACTCCATCTTTTCCAACTCTCTGGATTCTCCCAGGCCCACGTCTCACGCTCTCTGCTCTCTCCGGGTTTGAGATCATTGCTATCAGCACCACACAACAACGACAGCAGGAATTTATATAGCGCTCTTCACGTGGGGTAGCGTCCCAGAGCGCTTCTCCACACGAACAACAAAGGACCATTCGCAAAGTACCATCAACTTAAACGCCCATTAGGCAATCCCCCCCCCCCCCAACACCCAACAAGTTCTCCCATCCACACCTGACAGATATACTCCCCCCATCTACACCCAAAAGGTGCTCCTCACCCACTCACAAACCTCTATAAAGTTCTCACTCTGCTGTCTCTAGCACTTTACCACCACCTACTGACAGATATTCAACAGTTACTGTAATTTCCAACCTTCATCAGCACAATGAACTCCAATAAAATATTCAGTTATTTTCATGTAAAAGAATCATAGAATATTACAGCACAGAAGGAGGCCATTCCGCTCTTCGTGCCTGTGCCGGTTCTTGGAAGAGCTACCCAATCAGTCTCACTCCCCTGCTCTTTCTCCATATCTTTGCAAATGTTTCCTTTTCAAGAACCTATCCAATTTCCTTTTGGAAGCTATTGAATATGTTTTCACCACCCTTTCAGGTAGTGCATTCCAGACCGTAATAACTCTCAGTGAAAAGAAGATTCTCCTCATCTCTCTGGTTCTTTTGTCAATTATCTTAAATCTGTGTCCATCCTAAGTGCCAGTGCAAACAGTTTCTCCCTATCTACTCTTATCAAAAGCCCTCACAATTTTGAACACCTCTGTTAAATCTCCCCTTAACCTTCTCTTCTCCAAAAGAATATCTCAACTTGAATAGCACCAGTGAAATAAGAGATTTAAAGTTGTTAACCCAAAGCACAGTCCACCATGTAATGTTTTAGGAGGTTTTGAACATGGAGCAAGGTAGTGAGATCAACTGGTTCCAGACAACCGAAGGCAGTGATCATTTTTTTGGTCAGCTGGGTGGAGAGAAAGGTGTGAACAAAGTTGACCGGCAACAATAGTCAGTTTTGGCCTGTGAAAGGGAGAGGCAGTAGGTTTGGAGGTGCTCAATCCGCAGATGGCGGTGAATCGTGATCCTGGATTTCTGCCATCTGCGCTCGAGCATCCGTCTGGGTTTGGAGTGAGTGTAGATGACTGTTGTACCAGGGGAGCTGGTGGATTTGTAAACAGCTCTGGATTTCAGGAGAACCAGGGAATCGAAGGTTGTGGAGAGATGATCATTCAGCAGCTTGATGGCTGCATCAGGATCACTGCAGGTGGAGGGCTAAAGGGAGAGGAGGTCCGAGGAAGAGAGGGCATTTGTGAAGGACTCAGGAGGAAGCTTTTTTCAGGGGTGGAAAAAATGTGGAGGGCTTGGAAGAGGGGAGGGGGATGTGGGAGGAGAGGGAGATGAGGAAGTGGCCCGAGGTGGTCTTATCCGTGATAGACAGGTTAGAAATGTCAAGGCCATGTGTGATGACGAGGTTGAGGGGGTGGCAGGTTGATATGGAGGGTGAGGTTTAGGGAGGAGAAGAGGGCAGTGAAATCTGAGGAGGTGGTGCAAGAAGAGGTAAGGTGGAGGTTGAATTATGAGCAGGTGTTCAGCGCAGAGGGACAGGGATGGTTTGAGGTGGCAGAGAATTTTGGGGGAGAGAGCGTATGGATGATAAAGGGTGAGGTGCTCAAAGGAGGGGAAACAGTCAGAAGAATAGGGGGATAGACCAAGGGAAGCTTGGGAAATGAGGGTCACCCTGCTGCCATGTTGGTTGGGGCGTGGAGTGTGTGAAGAGTGTAACCAGGAGGGGAGGCTTCAACGAGGGGGACGGGGTCACTGGGGGAGAGCCAGGTTTCCGCAAGCCCAAGAATATCAATGTGCTCATCCAGGATGAGGTCATGAATAGTAAGGGCTTTGTTGGAGTGAGAGCGGACATTTTGGAGGGCGATGCAGATAGGTTTGCTGGTGGGAGGGAGTGGGGGCCTGGAGGAGAGAGTGGTATAGAGAGGATTTGGTGGTGGAGAAATGACCGTGGAGTTTGAGGAGTGGAGAAAGTTGGAGATAGTAGAATGAGGGAGGGGGAAGGGGCGTTTGTCTTTCGGAGGCCGTTGGTGTGGAGAGAGTGAGCTATGGGACAGTTGGGGTGGCTACTCTGGGATAACCAAGGCCAAAACGTACACTCAGAGACCTGGAGCGAGTGATCAATGGGGCAGCATCAGCCTGTGGGCTACGGGAGACAGCGGAGTGTGGAAGGGAGAGAGGGGATGGCGATCATGGCTTGGGTACCAGAGACAGGGAGGGAAACGAAGGAGGACAAGGTAGCAGAAGGATAGCAGTCAACACAACACAAATAGTGTGCCTGTTGACACACTTATGATCAGCTAGACAAGGCAGGAGCTCAGCTTGTTCGCAGCAAACAAAGGCCAGTGGGGTTACACCACACAGGATATCTGGTGTGATTCCTCATTCGGTTTTAATGCCGACTCCAGTAAACCAAGCAAACAACAATTGATTCACATTGTTCAGGATTTAACCCATATTTTATAGATTTTTTAAATATAAAAATGTTTGTCTCTCAACATAAGAACATATTGTACATACAGTGACTGTAAATATGTAGCTGCAATCTGTAAAGTACTGCCTTTTCCTGTTTAATGTTTCCACATGTCTAATAATTAATTAACATAACATTTCCGTTTTACACACTTTGAACTTTAAACTTTATCTGATTTGCAGTTTGTCTCCGACTCAGGCAATCTGATAAGAGGCCACAGAGTGGGAGATGGAGCGGGAAAGCCACCATCAGGTTTATCTCAGCACAAACCGCACCTGACAACACACCCTGGAAAATAAATAAATCACAGCAAAACCTGGTAAGTAAGTACAGGCTCGCTGAGCACAGGTTTCCCTGAACTTTGTTTATGAGTTCAACTGAATGACTTCAGACCAGAGAGAG